GAAATAGGGGAGGGACAGCGGGGTGTGGGGAGTTGGGGAAAGATAGCATGGGGAGAAATGCCAGATACAGGTGATAGGGAGGAAGGCAGAACATCACACTGCCATGTGTGTACCTATGCAACAATCTTGCATGTTCTTCACATGTACCCCAAAACCTAAAATGCAACAAAAAAAAATTGAGAAAAAAAAAAACACTCAGTTTAGGATATGCTAAATTTGAGGTGTCAATTATTGGAGCTGCTGATAAGCAATTAGATACACATTTCTATAGTTCAAGGTTTTGAGCTAGAGATATAAATTTGACAGCCATCATCACACAGATAATGACATCACTACATAATGAATGACATTGTGGTCATAGACTGCACATGTAACAGTGGTTCCAATGGAGCTGAAAAATTCCTATTGCCTACTGATGTCTTCAGGGTCCTGACCCTGCTTAGGCCTAGGGCAATGTGTTTGTGTCTTCACTCTTAACAAAAAGGTTTAAAAAGTAAAAAATAAAAATAAATTGGCTAGAAAAAAAAGACATAAAGAAAATATGCCAGGTGCAATGATTCACACCTGTAATCACAACACTTTGGGAGGCCAAGGTGGTAGGATCACTTGAGTCCAGGAGTTTCAGAACAGCCTGGCAACATAGCGAGACCTCCATCTCTACAAAAAATTTAAAAATCAGCTGGGTGAGGTGGCACACTCCTGTAGCCCTAGCTGCTCAGGAGGCTGGGGCAGGAAGATCGCCTGAGCCCAGGAGTTCAAGGTTATAGTGAGCTGTGATCACACCACTGCCTGGGTGGCAGAGACAAACTGTCAAGAAGAAAGAAAAGAAAGAAGGAAAGGAAGGAAAGGAAGAAAGAAAGAAAGGAAGAAAGGAAGACAGAAAGAAAGAAAAGAAAGAAAGAAGGAAAGAAGGAAAGAGAGAGAAAGAAAGAAAGAGAGAGAGAGAGGGAGGGAGGGAGGGAGGGAGGGAGGGAAAGGAAGGAAAGAAAGAGAGAGAGAAAGAGAAAGAAAGAAAGAAAGAAAGAAAGAAAGAAAGAAAGAAAGAAAGAAAGAGAGAGAGAGAAAAGAAAAGAAAGAAAATATTGTTGTATAGACAATGTTTGTGTTTTAAGCTGTTATTACAAGAGTTGAAAAGTTAAAAAAAATTAAAAGGATAAAGCAAGTTACAGCAAGCTAAGGTTATCATTGAATAATTAAAAAAATAAACTTAGTATAGCCTAACTGTACAGTATTTACAAAGTCTACAGTAGAGTACAGTAATGTCCTAGGCCTTCACATTCTCTAACTACTCACTGACTCGTGTAGAGCAAACTCTAGTCCTGTAGGCTACATCCATGGTAAAAGCCCTACACAGGTGTTCCACTTTTTATCTTTCATACCACATTTTTACTGTACCTTTTCTATATTTAGAAATGTTTAAATATACAAATGCCATTCGATTACAATTACCTACATTATTCAGACTAGGTATATAGTAGGTTATACCATCTAGGTTTGTGCTCGCTCACATGATGAAATCGTCTAACAATGCATTTATCAACACATATCCCCGTTAAGTAATACATGACTGTACTTACAGTTGTAAGGCTGGGTGAAATGAGAAAGGTAAGACTGCACAGCTAGGAATGGGAAGATCTTCAGACCAGGAGATATTGAGATGAGTAAGAACAAACGGAATAGTCTGAAAAGGGTCACACAGTAAGTTAAGAGGAAAACTAAGCGCATGATATCCCAAAATCCAAGAATGTATTCAAGGAAGGAATGATGAACTGTCAAATAGTGGAGACAAGTCAAGTAAGTTACACAGAATTGACAATTTATTTAGTAATATGGATAAGCAAACTGTTTTTTCTAAAAATAGTCGCAGCAATATTTCAGGTTGCATTCCCCATCAAGAGGCAGAGTCTTTTTCCCCTCCCCTTGAAACTGACTGTGACTTTGTGTCTGTCTTTAGAAACAGAATACAACGAAAATGACACCACATGACTTTCAAGACTAAGTCATAAAAGGCAATATAGCTAACTTCTGGCTTTTTCTTTCTCGGAACACTCACCCTTGCAACTCAGCCACCATGTTATGAGAAAGCCCAAACTAGCACAAAAGGAAGAGATCACATGGAGAAGTCCATGTGGAAACGAACTGAGGTTCCCAGACAAAAGCTAGTATCAACTGCCAGAAATACACATGATCATTTCTGATGATTAAGCCCGTAGGCTTTGATCTTCTAGTCAAGGCTCCAGAAACAGTGGGGCAGAGAAACCACCCCTGCTGTGTCCTGTATGAATTTCAAATGCACAAAACCCTTGTGCGTAATAAACAGTTGTTTTACACCTTTACATTCTAGGATAATTTATCACAACAATTTTATTGGAGTTAACATACAAAAATGAAGCCCACGGGTAACCTTTACAGGAGTAGTTTTAGAAGAACAGTGAGAGTAAAAGCCTGATTGGAGTGGATTCAAGAGAGAATGGAAGGCAAGGAATTAAATATACTAAGAATATAAAATGTTTTCAAGAATTTTTTCTCTAGCCAGGCGTGGCGGCACATGCCTGTAGTTCCAGCTACTCAGGAACTGCGGTGGGAGGATCACTTGAACCTGGTGAACCCAGGACACTGAAGCTTCAGTGAGCCATGAAAACACCAATGCACTCCAGCCTGGGTGATAAAGCAAGACCCTACTTCAAAAAAACCCCACACACAATTTTTTTAAAAGGAAAGAGAGAAATACAGTTATTAGCTGGAGGGAGATACAGGGTTAAAAGAGACTTTTTAAAAAAAAAAAGATGGGAGAAAATACAGCATCTTTATATGGTACAGTAAAAGAAGGAAATGTTGCTAATATAAGAGAGAAAGGGGAGAAGAAAGAATGGGATCTAGTACATAAGAAGAGGGGTTGGCTTAAAATAAATGGACATGCAATTCATCCATTTTAATGAAAGGGTCATCAAAGTATCAAGAGTGTAGATGCAGGTAGGTAAGTAGACGTGTTGCTAGGAACCTGTAGAAATTGTATGTGGATTCTTTTTTCTCAATAAAATGGTAACTAAGGTCATCAGCTATGAATGAGGATGGGGAAAAAGAACTGCAGTTTAAGAGCACAGGAAAAGAGATGTATAAAATAGATATATATAAAAAAGGGAGAAGATAAAGTTATAGGATTACTCAGTAGTAGCATTACAGACTCATCTGAGATTAGTAGTCGGGTTTAAAGTGAAACTGGAGCATGGCTGTTTGTTTTCTTCTACAGTGTAGCAACACAGGTGTAGACAGGGACAAAGTGAAAGAATGGCCATAGGAATAAGCAGCTAAGACAAGAGAGAGAACATAATCACTAGGGGAGAGAAGGTCAAGGGTGATAGTGAGCCAGGAGCTAAAAATCTTCAAGGAATGAGGATGAGTAAAACAATCTCGCTAGATGATTCCTGGAAAGAATGACAAGGGGGTGGGGTCTGGTAGAAAGAGATTCAAAATTGGGCAATTTTAAGGAGGTAAACAGTACAATAAAGAATGGTGAGAATGTCTACCCCCCATCAAATGCAAACCAGAACATTCCGCCTCAGTATTTTTATTGATATGTAACTTTTGCACTTTATTCTGCTTAATCAATAACATTAACAGAGAAGTTCTAAAGCAGAGCTAAGTAAACAGAAAGATACAGTCATATTCATGCACTGGAAGACTCAAATTGTAAAGATGTAAATTTGCCCCAAGTTTATCTACAGAATCTTAACCAAAATCCTGAAAGTTATTGTTTCTTTGTGGGACTTGACAAGCAAATCCTAAAATTTACATGGAAGCACAAAGGGCCAAAACTGGCCTACGATCCTCATAAAAAATAAGATGGGAGGCCGTAACACACACTATTATGACAATGTAGAATTGGCATATAAGTAGGCAAACTGAGCAATGGAACACAATACAAAGCTTTTCTTGACTTTCTAGATTCACATACATATGGACACATGACATACGACAGAGATGACAATGCAAAGCAAGGAGAAAAAAACCCCAAATAAATACATATTTTACATATAATACTGCTTTTTAAAATGTATATTTTAGTTCATATAAATCTTCCTTTTTTTTTTTTTTTTTTAACAAACTGAATGGTATTTGGGGAGGAAAAAAAAGTCTAAATTCATTCCTCAATCTTTACATCACTCCTCACTGCCTCAAAAAATCCAAAATAGAGATCATAAAAAATAGGCAGAAAACAGAAACTTTTAAAATCTTAGATTAGGAAACACCTCTCTAAGCAAAACTAAGTAAAATCTTGACATAAAATTTTTTTTTAATTCTGCATAGACAACATCTCATCAACGAAGTTAAAATTTAAAACTCCAAAACTTAGGAGAAATACTTGTAACATATATGACAACCCAAGACCTAATTTCCTTAATGTGTAACGAGTGTCTATAAATTGATAAGAAAAAACCAAACAACTCACCAAAAAAAAGAAAAAAAAAAAAAAAAAAAGAGATTACCAAAAAAGTCAGGATATCAATTACTTTTGGAGGAAGAAGGGAAGGGAGAGAAGGGTTGTGGCTGGGATGGGCCAAATGGAGAGATTTCTGAGATGATTATCAAAGCTTTATTTCTTGACTAGCATGATGGTAAGGGTGTTCACGGCATAATAATTCATAAACTTTACATTTATTTTGTGTGGGTTTGTGTCTGCATTTGACTTTACAATAAAAAGGTAAACAACAAAAACAATTCCATAGAAACAAGCAAAGGACACAAATGAGGAATTCAAAGAAAAAACAAAACCTTTTAAATATAGAAAAAGTGCATTCATAAGCTCATATACAATTTATGAAAATGCAAATCAAACAAGCATTAGTTTTCATTCAGACTGGCACTAATGTTAAAATTTGATAAGAAATACTGGTAAGCATGTGAAATAAGAGACTTGCATTGTTGGTGGACCAACCACTTTGTATAACATCCATCAAAATTTTACATGCATTTATTTTGACCCAGAAATTCTATTTCTAAGAATAATCCTAAATATAGATATGTCCGCATAAGTCTACACAATGATGTTTACTGCCACACTACTTAGAAAAAAAAAGAAACTTTGAAGGTATGAACTCTGCAAACTGACTACATAGGTTTAAATCCCAGTTTTGATATTTAAAAGCTGTGAGACTTGGGCAAGTCACTTAAATTTTCTGTACCACAATTTACTCTCCTATAAAATGAAGATAATATTACATACTTCCTAGCGTTGTTATGACAATTAAATGAGCGCATATATATATATATATATATATATGTATATATATTAGAACTGTAGCTAGCATATAAAGAGCTTTATTGGTCTTAGCTATTAACATTACTATTAACAATTTGAACGTCAACTAGAAGGCTGAACATCCCACCTGCTATACCCATAAGATACAGTTTAAGTTCACAAAGCCAAAATCAGTCATTACCAATTTGTAAGCAAAAAAGTCAAAACAAATATTCGTTTACTGACCACTAATATGCATTATCAATATGCAAAAGTAATGCGGAACTCTGCACATGTGGTGGGGACAGAGGGTGGGGGATAGACACTCAACAAATCACCTGGCTTGACAATTCAATGTGGCGTTAAAATAAAAACATATAGAAACATTTAAGAGTTTGCTCTCTACCACTTGAGAATGCAATATGTGAGCTGTATGCAACTTGGAAGAGGGCCATCAATAGAACCAGAAAATGCTGGCACCCAGATCTTAAATCTCCAGCCTCTAGACTTGTGGGAAATAAATTTCAGTTGTTTATTTAAAACACACACACACACACGCACACACACACACACGCACTTACTTACTTAACAGTTTATCCCTTTCCTACATTTTGTGTCTTTAAACCTATCTTCCTGGAAAGGGAACAAGTTAACTTTTTGAGGTCCCCAGTTAAGACTACAATACTTATTCATTAATTGAAGAACAACAACATCTCTTTATTTAGTGATAATACTATACTTAAAGAAACTCGCACCACTAATTGGGAAAAGATCAATATACATGAAATAAGCAAAAAGTACCCACATCATTCTAAAATGTTTCACTTATTCAACAAATATGTTAATGTGTGCCATTGGTCAGACACTGGCTATAGCTGTGTAGGTGAAAAAGCCTTTGTACTCATAGAGCTTCCATTCTCAGGGAGACAATATAAATAAATGGATAACTAAATATATGGTATGATTTCAGGCAGTTAGAAGAGCTATGAAATGGTGAAGTATACAACACTGTCTTCAAGTACTATCAGAATTCAGGATAGTGAAGGTTAGAGAAACCTGGAAGAAAGGAATTACTCCATAATAATACTTAATAAATGTTAACTAGCTACACTGTTTTATTATTATCATCATCTTCATCCTCATTATTGCTACAGTCTTAGAAAGATGAGAAGATGTAAACATGAAGGCTAGATTGCTGTGGAGGTGCTTTCATGACATGGTAAAAAGCCCCATAAAACTGCATACCTCAACCATACCTCAGCTTTCTGTTGAAACTGCTCTCTATAACCCAAATATGAATACGTAATTAAGGACTGTAATCGCCACCCTACCCAGACAATGTGTAAACAAATGCTAATCTTGACTTTTGTGAACCACTTAAGTAACAACCAGAATGTCAAAAAGTCCCCTGGCCCTCGGAATGCCCGGAGCCCCTCACCCTCATCTTCGCTCAGGAATCCACTGGAATGTCCGGAGCCCCCTCACCCTCATCTCCGCCCAGAAGGTGATTTACAGAATCCACTAGCCCTCGGAATGTCTGAAGCCCCTCACCCCACCCCCGCCCCTCACCCTCATTCCCAAGGTGATTTTTACGGGTATAAAGGGTCTTGACACCCTCCTTTCGGGGCCATGGGTTGGAGAGTCCTCCGTGGCCTCTGGCAATAAAGACCCTGCAATTTGGCATACTTTTGTCTCGGTGTTGACTTTCTATGCTCGGGCCAGTACAACACTTTCAAGCATAAAAACGTAAGACTGGGAGGCAAGAACGAACAAGGGAAATTTGTGAGACACAAAAGAAAGTGGTCTCATGAGAGCAGAGAGCAGAGACGAAATGAGACTTGCTAGAAGGAATGGTCAAATAATGCGAACCTTTGAAACAAAATAAAATAAAGTGCCTACTATCGGGGCAGTTCCTTCCTTGTACGTGGTGCCTATCTGAAGGCAAAATTAGAGATTTACCACGAGGATTAGGTTGGTGCAAAAGTATTTGCGGTTAAAAGAAAAAAGTGTTTCAGGGAGGTCATTTTGACAAGCTGTATTTAGTTCATCTTTTAAAAAGGGATTAATATATTTTATGTTAGGTATTTTTTACCTAATTTTTTAAAAATGAAGAGGACAGATGAGAAGGAGGAGAAAGAGTTCAGATGATTGTTAGGAGATGAACTCCTATACCAGGAAGAAGACACAAGGGTGATCCGTTCTGCCCTAGATCAGTTTGGTTACTTGAAGTAGCTGCTTTCCACCCCACCCTAGGAAACAGCAACAAGCACTCGCCACCTTCTTCAGAGAGTGTGTGAGAGAAAAAAAAAGGTCAGGAGAGAAAACGTGTTTAGTGCATCCAAAAGGAAACCGCAAGTTAACCTGTTCCTTCTGTCTCCACCCTTCCATCTTTCTCTAGAAATTGGCGAGGTTCTGGAGCTGGCGTTGGCGCGCGGGAAACAGAGGAGAACGGGGCTCAAAGCCTGGCTTGGAAGTCAGATACCCAGTTCGCTGGCTAAGGGTTCCACCTTCGGGGCCATAGCGCCACAAGCTTCAACCCTTACGGCGCCCTCCCCGGCCCAGCTCCATACCACCACAGCGCCACAAGCTCCGGGTCGTCTCCGCGCTGCGTAGTCACGGCCCGCTAGCCCGGGACATCTGCGCGCGCTGCATGCCCATTGGATCTGCTCCTGCCCACCCCAGCCAATCCCGAAACTCGCTCGGACGCTGACAGAAGACTGCGCCGCTGCTTTGGGATTGGTAGCCGAGCTGTGTGTCGCGCCTTTTCCGACGATGCGAACAACATGGCGGCGGAAAGTGGTAGCGACTCGCAGCAGAGACGGAGAAGGCGCCGGGACCCGGAGGAATCGGAAAAAACAGAACTCAGCGGAAGAGAGCTGGCAGTGGCAGTGGCAGTGTCCCAAGAGAACGATGAGGAGAACGAAGAGCGCTGGGTTGGGCCTTTACCTGTGGAGGCAACACTGGCCAAGAAGAGGAAAGGTAGCGGCAGACGTAGTAACAGGACGAATTGGAGTGCTGCGTCCGCGGAGTGGGAGGGCTAAGTTCAAGTCAGATGCGAAGTGGGATGGTGTGTGGAGTTCTGTGTCCTCTGAACAGAGCGCCTTCCTCTCACTTCTGGCCACTCCATACTTGCATATCTTCCCGAAATAGTGATTTGAGCGTAGTACAGCGCCTTTTTGATAATATCTAACACTTTTGATCATTGATTTGTTATGACGCTAAAACTAACGTTTGTCTATACTTAATGTACTTGGCTCCTGTCATTTACTCCCCACAGCAGCCATATGAAGTTGGAATTTCGAACTCTTATTTAGGTATGGAAAAGGGTACTGGTTCTCAAAGGCTTTAGTTCTGGAGTGGTGTTAACG